TTCGCGGGACTCTCTCTCCGCCTCGTTCTGGTGATTTTAACTCAAAAGGACTTATCTTATTCCTTGCCTTGCTTAGCTTGGAAGAGGACTCAAATTCTCCCTCTCCTATTAGTCGTGACCTCCTCACAATACAAGGAAAGTTGTCCAGCTTTGGTCAATCCGGGATGTGACAAAGAAGCAGGAGAAGACATGAGTTGGAACTAAAAGCTCCTTGTCTTCTATTACTTGGCCACGAGGTTGAGTGAAAAACTTAGAATTTTTTCGCACATATTTTAACACGGAGCTGCTCATCTCACCTCGTCACAAGGCTAAGTAGCTCCCTTAGAAAAAATAATGTTCTTTTTTATCTTGCTAGAAAAAATCATGCCCGCCAGATCTTGGCTAATCAGGACAAGACAACATTGCATGGCATGGTGATAGAAACAGGATTTCTATCGGCTTTGATTTTGGGGATTAGGGTTTATACGAACAGAATTAGGGATTAGGATAGAGAATTAGGGAAGGATGAACAGAATAAGAATCAGCCGAAGCTTTAGACTAGGGAAGAAGAGAAATTAGGAGGTACGGAAAGCTTAGGGTTTAAGAAGATAATTCTTTTACTTATTTCTGCTTAATTGAACAAATGACCAAACGTACATATTTATAGCTAAATGACCGGTAAACCTAATAGACTATCCTAATATGACTCGATGACTACTACCATATCTAAAAATATCATAATTATAGTAATAATAATAATTATGATAAATCTCAAGAATTGGGTTTCTATCATCCCCTCCCCCTTGAGACCAACCTTGCCCTCCAGGTTGACCGACTCGAACCATTTCTTCACATCTACCGCGCAATCCGCGCTTTGTCTCCTCCACTCCTTGTGATTTCTTTTCTTCCAATCATGCTCCATATCTCAGTTGGGCTTCTTGCTTCTCCTTCTCCACATGCTTGTTGCTCAAGCTCTTCTGAAAGCCCACCAATCAAACCCTTAAATCCATATCCTTTTTCATCTAAGCCCATCTTTGTGAAAACACAATCTCTATTGGGCTCAATCACCCCTTGCAAACACGGCCCAAGGTGTTCAAACATTGGCCCAAACTCTGACATAAGCCCTTTCCCAGAATGCAACCCAGTTTTATGACTGAAGCCCACTGCATTTCCTATTGTCTCCAGGTTCTTTTGCGCCCATTGGGCCTGCAGGAGTTTCTCCCACATCGTCAGCTTGTACCCGCGGCCCACCCCGTTTGGCTTCTCAAAACACTTAACCCAAATCTCTTTCGGCCCAGAAATTGGCCCGGTGTGGATGGAAGCCAATCCAACCGTGCAACCCACCAAAAATGGATATTGGTTGGCCTACACTAGGAATTGCGACCCATGGTTTCCGAAAGGAGAGGCAGCGCCTCCGTCCTCCCCTTCCTTCGCAAACTCCTTCTTCGCCTCATTCACTACCGTCGATCGCGGCGATTCGTGCCGCCTCGCCCGCTTGATCGAGCGTCTCAGTCCGCTGTCATCTGAGGAAGGGCCTCCACTGCTTCACCAAGATCTCCACTATGTGTGGTCGGCACCAAGATCTCCACTCCACCATTGCCTCCGGCCACCGCCTCCGATGCTTGGCCATGTTCAATGTTGGCTACCTGCTCCCCCACAAAACCAGCCGGAACATCACCTTCTTGATTCCTCCACCTCAGGGCCACCGAATCGACCACAAGTGTCCAACCGGGTGTGCCAATTAGTTTTCTGGCGAGAAAACTTGAGTTGCAAACGAATTGATTGCACCTTGACTTTTTCGGACAACAATTAAATTAACATGGTTCACAACTCTTCGGACAAACTTCGAATGAAGGTGTTCGATGTTTACACGACTCACGGAAGAATTTTACTCTTATGGAGGTTCAGTGAGAGCTCTAGATCTATGACTAAGGCTAAAAGTATTAGATGAAAGTTAAAAAGATAAAAGTTGACCTTTGGGTTCCCTTCTTTCATGGACATGTCGGACTCGCGGCGAACACGGTCTATCAAACTTGCAACAAGGGCCTCTACCATACTTAGTCTATTTCCACGCCACATGTCAGATTTAGTCGTTTGGACTTAAAAATCTAGTACCATGATGCTCATTTTAAATAACATTAATTGTTATTATTGATGTGGCCTTATAAAGACAGTTTTTTTTATTATCCAGGAACCTCAGCCCCACATGCCACTTTGTGACAGCAACTTCTACTAAACCTGGGGGTCACCTGCAATGCCTTATAAAGACAGTTAATGACTTGTAAATAATCAATGTGATAAAAAAAATATTTTTAGGTGTAAATTGTCATTTTGAAAACTTAGATATAGAACCATTATTAGTCATTAGCAGTTTTTATTTATTTTATAAAAAAATCACCTGACGGCAACTTGCATACAAATTATGGCACGCTGGATAATTCTTACCATGAACCTGCGATGAGAAAGTTTTAGCCATTTTTCTAAAATAAGAACGTACTACCATAAGAATAATAAATTAAAAAAAAAGAAAGAAAAGGAAAAGGCAGGCTCATGTGAGCCAAAAAATGAAATAGGGTAAGCAATTAAATGAGAAAAATATATTCCCATAGTTACTCATGAGTAGTCCCTTATCCCAAAACTTGCAGAATTCCTATATAAATGTTGAAATGGCGGTGAAGAAATTTCCTTGTTTTGAGAGTAGCCAAACGAGAAAGGATGATGTGGCAAACGAGAAAGGTGACTAGAACGTTAACTTAATGACGTGTTAATTTATTAAAATTAAAAATTAAAGAATGGATGATGTGGCAACTAAAAATAATAAAAATAACCTTTATATTTTCCATCCTGCACCCCTCCCCTTTTCTTTCTTCATCTTTTTCTTCTTCCTTGGCCCGTCCATGTTCTCCAAGCAAGCAACAAGCAAGCCACCCAATTCCAGTTTTGGTTTCGATTTTCATCTCGTTCTTCGGCGCCGCCATACCTTTGCGGGGGATTCTTCTCGATTGCGTCGCCATGGACAATTTGCATGACGCGATAGATCTTCTCCTGTTGGAATTAGAGGTTCTTGGTGCGACGATGGTGGGGAATTGCAGATCTACACCTACAATGTCAATATGCCGGTGGTGTGAGATTGGATGGAAGGTGGTGGTTGCCGGCGGTTTCTGGTTTCCACTTCTAGTCTCTCCTTTTCTCTCTACTCTGTTTCTTCACTTCCTTGATTTGTCATTGGAAAGATCTACGCCAAAGTCACGAATTTGACCTCGTCATTTCCCAACAGCGGCGCCTCGATCAAAAAACCCTAGAATTTCTGCAGCGCTGGCTAGATTATCCATGGAAGAATCGAAAATGGATAATACGCCCCTGGGGGTGTATGTTTATCAAAGTCACGCAGCAAACAACTCAATCGAAGAATCGATTGAGCTCGAATCAAGAACAACGCGTTCTTAATACGAACTTGGATAAAACGGAACCAAAAGGACAAATCCACACCTGGGGATAGCTCGATTGGTATAAAAGGGTAGTTGCTCGACCACGATTGAAGTGACTATTCAATCGATACACAAGCTCAGCAAGGTTGGAATCCTCCAAACCCAAAACAAGTCGCAACTTGCACAAACCAAACGGTTTCGATTTCTATTCACCAAAGTCTGAATTTTACAACGTAATTAGAAAGCTTAAATAGGCCTATCTAGGGTTACACACGTCCCATAAACTCCTAATTACAGTCTAATACAAAAAGGAATAAAAAACTACCAAAACAATGAAATCCTAACTAAACAAGAAAAGGAAAAATCTGCCTTTAGCTCCTCCAAGTAACCAAACAGCTTTGATGCCACCTTTGAGCCTCTCGATCAAAGCCTTCCAAGTTGATTCGAACTCAACCAATTCCTTTCCTCTGTAGAAGAAAACTCCTTATTTCATCTCCAACTTGAATCAGCCTGAGATCATACTCCAAACTTCAGATATAGGCCTTCAAAGTTGGTATCTCAACACAGTTTTCTGCCTTAGACATTTTCTGGCAGTTTTCCAGTTTTGAGGTAGCAACTTTGAGACTTTGGAAATCAACCTTAATGACTTCTTCTTGAGCAACCAAGCATACCAAGGTGTAGATAATCACTCCATGTTCAATACAAGCCATTAAACTTGAATTTCCATTGAGCCAATTGAGAGAAACTTGCCTCCAAAATTGGCTACTTGAACACGGAAAATGACACTGACAGAAATGAATGTTCTTCAGGCAGCTTGAGCTTGCTTCTTCGTCAAGTAATTCCAACTTGTGGAGTGGCCTATTTGGGATCATATCAATGGAGAATGTTGAGTATTGATATCCTTTTTAATTTTGAAGGGATTTATTTCGGTTTTGGAGACCTAATTATGTTTGTGAACTTGTGATGATGATGATGATACCTCAAGAAACGCCGACTTAGCAGCGGAATGAGGAGAGGGCGACTAGAGGTGTAAATGGGAGCTACGAGGCGGAGGCGGGGATGCCACGACTGTGGTGACGCCGGGTGAGCTCGAAGAATCAGTCAAGGAAGCAATGAACCAGACGGCAGAGGACGTAGTCGGCGGCGAATTGGGGATTTTTGGCGTTTGGAAGGACTGGAGAATTTCTTAGGGTGGGTTTCAGCTCGAAATAACTTCCCAACTGAAGGCAATCGGCAGAGAGCGAAAAAAGCTAGTTTGCTTCTCTTGATCTTTTCCGGATCGTAAACGGCGAATCAGGGACGGGGTTAACTAATTTTTAAAAAATTATTTAAATTGACATGTCACTAAGTTAATAGTCTAGTCAGCTTTTTGGTTTGCCACGTCATCAAAAAACAGATGGAGTTAACGGAATCTGACAGAGACTAACGGCCGGTGACTAATGGTGTAACGATTCGTAAAGTTAGTGGCGAATAAGAAAGAAAAGTAATTCGGGTGGCAAACGTGAAAATTTTATATAATTTAAGTGACCAAACGTGTAATTTAGCCTTTTTATATAAAAAAACCTGACGGCAACTTGCATACAAATTATGGCACGCTGGATAATTCTTACCATAAACCTGCGATGAGAAAGTTTTAGCCATTTTTCCAAAATAAGAACGTACTACCATAAGAATAATAAATTAAAAAAAGAAAGAAAAGGAAAAGGCAGGCTCATGTGAGCCAAAAATTTGAAATAGGGGCAAGCAATTAAATGAGAAAAATATATTCCCATAGTTACTCACGAGTACTCCCCTGCAGAATTCCTATATAAATGTTGATATGATGGTGAAGAAATTTCATTGTTGTGAGAGTAGCCAAACTGATTCTTGAATTCCCTTTCTTCCTCTCTCTGTGTGTGCCAGACAACTTTCCTATATATATAGGTAGGTAGCGACACGCTAGCCCCCAGGCAACATGATCCGTTTGGCTCTGGTGTTGGCTGCATTAATGGCCGCCGGTAGAGGTGCGGCAGCAGCCGCCAATTCTATCACGCAGCAGCGGTGCGATCTGTACCAAGGAAGCTGGGTTCCGGACAGCGCCGACTGCCCTCTCTACGATTCCTCGGCATGCCCTTTCATCCGCAAAGAGTTCGACTGTCTCAAGTATGGGCGGCCGGACCATCAGTACCTCCAATACCGATGGCAGCCATCTGACGCCGCCTGTTCTCTGCCCAGGTTAGGTATCACCAAAACTAAATTCTTCATCATTACACTACTCTTCTTGCCCTGCTTTAATTTTGCAAAAGAAGAATGCGATTCTGCTTCTTCTGATGATGAATGAGAAATTTGTTTTTTTTTTTCTTTTCTTCTTTTTGTAAAGAAAGCGACATGCTGATGATGAATGATTGACGAGATCATTGTTTGAGAAACAGACACACATTCGATGGGTAAATTAATAACGTGCAAGTCTAACTAAACCCCTTTTGCTTATATCCATACACATGCAATTGGGTGGCTTCAACTTGTCCATCTGATTCTGTCAAAAATGAAAAAAAGAAAAAAAAACAAAACTTGTCCATCCATCTGATAAAGGACCCCAAAGCAGATCTGATCGAGCAGCTTCTACAAACCCATGTACCATTAGATTTTCTTAAGAAAAAATAAATTAATATCGTGGTGCAAATCAAATCATTCTTCGTTGGGTAGGGCAGATGGATCTGCGTCTCGAAGTATATGGGTGGGATATTAATTGACTTCTTAACCTCTGATTAATTGTTATGAAGCCTGTCCGACAATGACTAATCAATTGGTATAGGGGAATGTATTTGTATAATCATGATGGCCGTTTCTGTTGCCGGCGCTTGCACATGTCCACGATGTTCGTCGGTGAATAATACTTATATATGCTTTTATTTTGTATGTTTTTCTTTTCTCGTGTCAATGAATGAATGAATATTTAATTTACATGTGGTTTGTTGCAGATTTAATGGGTTGGAATTCTTGATGAAGATGAAGGGGAAGAAGATTATGTTCGTGGGAGACTCGTTGAGTATGAATCAGTACGACTCACTGTTATGCATGCTTCATGCAGCTGCTCCCAATTCCAACATTACCCGTGATTCTCAACCTCTTCCGACCGTCACCTTCCAGGTTATACAATAATGAATTCCCCTCCTTTTTCTCATATCATCAAGACATCAACTACTTCTTCATGTCATATATTCCAATAATTTGTATATCTTATTTTAGGTTAGTTTTTATTTGGTTTATGGGATTTCAAATTCCATATATCAAATCATTTGTTTGAATGCTAATTAAATGTAGTATCTTGATTCACCCAAATGCATATTTAGTTTATTACTAGTCATTTTCAATTACACCTCAATAGACTGTCATTTTAATTCCTCACAATATCAAATATAATTTGTTGTAAATTAAAAGTTCAGGTACCACACAAAAAAATAGGTATTAAATTGTAATTCTACCAACAAAATCTTCCCCCGCCTATTTGGAAAAAACCATTCAATTTCAGTTACTACATTCTAATAAATACAAGATTTAGATACTAAACAACTTTTTTTTTTAAAAGTATGTTTGGCTAGTGATGTCCAAATTGAAAAAAGACCCATAAAATCTCAAATAGATAAAGTTGCAAGAATTTTTTTTGAAATATTTGATTTGAATTATATGTATTTTAAGTGTAAGATTTTCAATATTTTATTTTTCTATATCATTTTGTTATCTCTCTTTCTTCATTGACTAACTATATATCTTTGGTTTGGGCGAAGTTGATCACACAGTACAACTAGCCCGTCCAAAAGATTGGGAGGACCATGTCCAGCTAGACTTGTTTATTAGCCCCAACTTTGTGGAATCTTACGTCTCAGCAGCAGCATAGCCCAACTCTAAAGTTCTTTTTTTTTCTTTCGTGGGTACCCAACTCTAAAGTTCTAAAGTTGAGCCCATTATAACGTGATTTTTTTTATTTATAAACCCACATTAATTAAACTGTTTTCTAAACCATATATACCTTTTAAAAACCAAGATTAGGCAAATTAGTAGATGAATTTCTACAATAGGCAGAAAAATAGCCAGATTTTTTTAGGACAAAAAAAAAGCCTACGAATATGAATTTGACCATTAGATTTAAATCAGCGCAAGTACGTAATCTCGCATTTGCCTTATTGGTCCGGATTGATAGTCTATGTGCCCATCAATGATTTTCTTGTTTCACAAGAATGTAACTATTTTGAAAATTCGAATCATTATCCTCTCAGGAATAAAATTACGGTTCATTAAGAGATATTTTATTTGCTTATCCATTTCGTAAGTTAATTAGGTAATTGTCTAACTTGGGTTTTTGGATTAATCAGGATTATGGAGTGTCGATAATATTGTTCACAAGCCATTATTTGGTAGATATCCAGCAGGACAAGATAGGTCCTGTGTTAAATCTGAATTCAATGAGCAGCGGCAATCTGTGGAAGCAAATGGATGTGCTGATTTTCAACACCTGGCTTTGGTGGTACAGGACAGGTCCTAAGCAAGGGTACTATATATACCTTGGGTCCATATATCACCAAATGCCTAATGACAATAAAATATTTATAAAAAAAAAATGATTATTACAATGTTATCAATAATGCACTAATTATGATGCTGATGATGCAACAATTTTAGATGGGAATACATTCAAGATGGCAAGACCATATCCAAGGATATGAACAGAATGACTGCGTTTACAAGAGCCTTGCAGACGTGGGCAAAATGGGTAGACTCAAGCGTGGATACAAGTAAAACAGCGCTCTTCTTCCAAGGCGTTTCTCCAGCCCATTACGAGTAAGTGGCGCCCTTGAATTTGGTTTGGTCCGGTCGCTAGCTAGCTAATTAAGTTAGGATTCCGATATGGGCTTTGTGTTTTAATTATGTCCGTAATTATTTATTTGTGCAGTGGGGCCGGTTGGGGGGAGGCAGGGGTGAGAGATTGTTCGCGCGAGACGACACCAATCGCAGGAGCCACCCGAGGCGTGGTTCCATTGGCGCTACAAGTGCAAGAGGACATCCTGAGAAGCATAAGGAAGCCGGTCCATTTCCTGAATATAACCGCAATGTCGTACATGAGAAAAGATGGGCATCCAGCATCCCACAACGGCCTTGGTGGCATGGATTGTACGCACTGGTGCGTTGCTGGCGTCCCTGATACTTGGAACCAAATCCTATCAACAACACTACTCACTCAGTCGGGATAATTACCGAAACAAACAATCCAATGCCAGAATATTCTTATGTCCATTTGCATGGTTATTACATCGCTTGCTAATTATTAGATTGTTCTCTTTTTTTTCAAACAAATAAAAAAGAAAAAGATGATGAAGAGCTTAATAGCATAAAAAGGAATATTTGTAGTTATGAATTGACGCGGTTGGAAGCTCTAGGGTTCGCTAGCGTCGAACCCAAACGAAGACAACAAGCTAGCAAGCCGCAATAATCTTGTCACGATAACACCAGAAATCCACCGGTAAAAGGAATGCCCTTAGGTTTAATTGAAAGTATTGATAATGTTTCCAACGTCAGAACACAAGCTTAAATAGACATACAATTCTAACCCAATTCCTTGCGGAAAAAGAAAAGGAATAAAACCTAAATAAACAAGGTAAAACAAAATAAACAAGGAAAAGGCCATGCAGACTAGTCTCGTGCAAATTCGTTCTCCACCTGGATTGCCGCCTCAATCTTGTATGCTAGCTGTCCTGCATCATGAATTGAGAAGACCATTCTGATTTTTCGAAGGAGCATGCTCTTTGCTTGAAGCAACTGATAAGAAAACATAAATAACAAACTAAGAGCACCGGATTTTACGTTGTTTCTGTTAGAAATCGAACAGGAAAAATTAGATTACCGATATGGCTAAGTCGCGGACTAGGTCAATCTCTTTAAGACGTTCGCGACACTACCTCGTTATTCGCACAGCAGACTATCAGCCGGTCGCCTCCAGGATAAAACAACCACTCTTTTGATTTGCTCAGCGATTTTGCGCGAAAAAACAAAGCTCTTTGAATCTCACTCTTTCGTGTTTCTGCTCTCTGAGGTGTGTTTAGAGGGTCTAGGGGTCTGCTACTTATAGGAGCAGAAAACCCAGAATATTCCCTCTTTCTTTGGGAATAAGTCACATTTTAATTAGGAAGATAATTACTCCCATAATTAAAATTTAATTTATTCAGTTAATTAATCCTAATAATCTCCATAATATTCTTTTTATTAATTATCCTTCTTATTTTCGTATCTAGGAAGAATACTGGATAATTAATTCAATATAGCTTTCAAAGCTATTCATTCCCAACAATCCCCCACTTGAATAGTTTTGAAACTATCTCTGAGCATCAATAGATCCATAAAATCGGGCATAAGCTAAGGTATCGCGAAGATTTGAACCTTAGCGTAGTGGTTACACTTCCGATTTCATAAGGGTGACTCGTAGTCTTGAACCCTATCTCAGAAAATGTAGCACACCGGATCTTTTCATTGAGTGATATTCTCTCATAGGCCGTGCGTTTATGGCCATGCACGTTATCCCGGTTTAGTGAACGCTCTAACAACTTTGTGCCTCCAAAGTTCCATAGAGAGCGGCCCCACTCCCACATTCACATAGGTGAGTCTATCAGAAGTACCACCAAAGTAAAGTACTCCACCCCACATAGGGTATAGATCTCATTAAGATTTGTTGTTACCCATTGAACCCATTTCTTGGGATCTCCAATCTATTGGGTCAGATTACCATCACTTGTAGTCCGTGGTTCAGTAGACATAAGTCTCATACCCTTGGCGGTATTCTGGACTTTCTCTCTAGGTAATTCTTTCGTCAAAGGATCAGCTAGATTCTGTTCGGATATGATCCACCCTCATTGCTCCTATCGTTAGGAGTTCTCTTACAGTACTGTGCTTACGACGAATTTTTCGTCTATTTTTGTTCTAGAACCAGTTCCCTTCTTTAGCAATAGCTGCGGTGCTATCACAATGAATCAACTACCAGAGGGATCGGTCTTTCCCATAAAGGAATCTCTAGTAGTGACCCTCTCAATCAATTTTTCTCTTTACTAGCCATTGCTAGCTCTATCATTTCTGATTTCTTAGTTGATTGAGCCAGAATCGTTTACTTCTTAGAATTCCAAGACATAACTCTTCCAGTGATGTTTAAAACATGTCCATTTGATGCCTTGGAGTCTTCTATAGGGTATTATCGTCCGCATTAATATACCCTACCAATAAGTAAGAACCTTTGATAACTTATATCAAGGTCTATTGTTCTCTAAGGTGTCTCATGACCCTTTTCAATAGCATTTCAATGCTTCATACTAGGACAATCAGTAACCTGCCAAATACCCCCACTATATCGGTTCTCAAGTTTATCAGGTGCTTCTTTCACGTTGTCGATGCTAGTATGTTCTTACTTTCTTACACCGTCTTTGGTGCTCTTTAAAAATTATGCTAGCACCATCAAACATTTATGCAGGTGTTGAGCTTGTATTTCTTCTATATCTAACTGTTTATTTAGATTGATCTAGATGAAATCTCTTTCAGTGTCCTAGTAGTCTGGATAATCTTGATTCATCCAGATCTTTTACCTTCATAATTCTCAAACAACATGGTTTTTCATAGTATTGACATCACGAGTCTTTGTACCAAAGATCGATGTGTCATTCATAATGCAAGTGTCATTCTCAAATTTGTACTAAATGCACTTGTCACTTCCACTTTTAAAACCATGAGAGAGAATCTGTTCTGAGTCTATTTCAAATCATATAATGATTTGTCTAACCATAGACTCTAGAAGCATGTTCAAGAATAACAACTTCTTAGGTTGTCTCATGTAGATTTCTTTATCTAAGTCACCATTCACAAAAGAAGTTTAACATCCATATGATGGTTGTTATTCTGCATATTGGTGAATAGATATCAAATAAATCTACAATTTTTCCTCTTCATCTAAAGCCTTAGCTACTAGGCGATCATTATACTCATAAACTAAACCATCAGGTTTCAGTTTTTCTTTTAGGAATCCATTTATTACCTTGGCTTCATTGCCAGGAGGTAATTCTCAAAGATGCCAAATCTTGTTTGGTTCCACCGATATATTACCCAAGGCTTGACAACCAAGAGGTAACTCCACACAATTCTAAGTCTTACTAGACTCCACAAATTCCATTTCGTTAATAATGGATTCTCCCACAAATCTGCATCTTTATGGAAATTCGAACTTCTAGCAGACTTGTAGGATCTCTTCTTGGGGTGTAAATAACAAATTCATATCCAAAATCTTTTCGCGATTTATGATTCATTTGTCTCTTCTGAGTTCATACCCAGATTCATCACCCCCACTAGTTATCCATTATTAATAGCAGGCAAGATATCACCCCCACTATTTCTCGATTTAAATGGAATGACATTAATGGATTCTACACAACAATAAGTATTTCATTTCATAAGCTTATGTGTTATATTATATATTGATAACACAATCAATAAAAAACTCTCATGCTCATCCTATATTGCACTGATTCTCAAACTATACCATATGAAAAAGGCATTTTATAAATAACGTTTTACGTCAAAAGCATCACATCTTTAATTAGTGCAATCAATAATAATGTGATAAAGCATTTCACATTAATCTCATTCACCCATTTCAAAATGAACCAAATCCAAAGATTCTGATTCTCTAATAACATATTTAAGAGTCATTTTACTTTATCATCATATGTGTACTCTTATGACCATGACCAATAGTGGAGTGAGCAATAATCAGCAACACTTTCTTAATAGCATATGTCTTAGTATGCTTCGAGATACCATTATTCAACCACCATTCTTAAGAGTTACCAACATGGTTAATCTCTGCTCATTTGTCAGTCATCACAGCCACCAATCCTTCTCTTCAATCAAGGTAACACTAAAACTAGTGTTATACTTGTTCCTACACTTTAGTGTCACATGACCTAATTTCTCGCAACTATTGTAGAGAAATAAAACGTCATTCTTAGAGGATTGGCCGATAATCCTTTAGTTACCACGAATTGTACCATTTTAATTGGTGTGGATATGATTTGGTTTGCTATGCTGATTATTGAACCTTATTAGGGTTTAGAAACATACAAATGGTTCTCATAGTACTGACAAACAGTACTTCTAATAAATATGGGCATATAACCCATTCCACTAGCATATTTACTATAGAATCTACATTCATATATGCTTTAGAGTATGCATTTATATCATCAAAATTACTCTACTTTGTAGCATGTACACAAAATTGTACTCTAATCGTTAGGAAGCCATATCTCAATGTCAATATGATCATGCATCAATTATCGTTTCTCTAGCATTCTCAAAATTTCTCAATTACATGCATAGAGATATATGGAATAGATTATATTTTTCCATTCATTGATAAATTACGAAAAGGGTTTTAGTTCTTACCTCTTTTCAACGGGATGCTTCAACACCTCCTCGTTCTTCGGCGTGCTAAATACCCTCTAATTCCTTTTATTTCATCTGCTACCATAGAGGAGCCCGGGAAGTGATCGAGTGTCGCCAATTGGTCTCAAGTTTCTTATTTGGCTTGATAGATTCTCACACTCATTGTTACTTCTGCACTATCGGCACTTGCTGTGGCTACATTATTAATAAATGCCCTGCAGAGTTGATATGTATGGAGTAGTACTACCAGCTCCATGTTCTCAGGGCCGGCCTAGAGGGTGTGCTGGCCCGCCCTCCGGCACAGGGCCTCCGAATACTAGGGGCCTCCACTTAGATCCGGTAGTTACCGATCGTACATTGTAGATTGTATTTTTAGTATATGATTGATTGATTATGAATATGATGACGGTTTTAATAGATAATTTTAGCTATAATAACAATTAAAAATGATATCATGAAGACTACGAAAATAAGAAAGATAATAGATAATTTTATGGGTAACGTCTATTTTTTATCCAGACCTTTTTCAGATTCTTTTATAATATCCAAACCTATAGAAATACTAAAAATTAGCCGAATGTTAACTTTCGGTTAGCATTTTTGTTAGTAATATTGACTTGACAACATGATACTGACTTGGAAGAGACACATGAAGGTCAAGATTCCAAAATTTTAGTATTTTAACTAAGAAAAGAGTTACAGAATTATTAACAATAACGTAAAAATGACTAATATTTTGGTGCATTATGAAAGATTTGGCTAATTAATAAATTTTTAATAGGTTTGGATAATATAAAAGAATATGAAAAAGGTTTGGATACAAAATAGAGATTACCCTAATTTTATTTTAAATTATGTAGAAAGATACTAAAGTCATATTAGTTTTATTATAGTTAAAAGTCAATTTAGACCACGTCTCAAT